AAAATCCGCACAACCTCTGGTCCCGAACTTTGCGGATTTCTGGAATTCTACTGTATTACTTTTTTCGCAGTTTACCGTTTACCACACTAGAATTCTTGTAAAACAATTTGAGTTCATGAAATCTACAGAAAAACATTCATACTCAATAAAGATGTTTAGTTTTGTAAGGTAATTTAAAATCATTATTTAAAAATTCACGTTTTTTATAAAGGAAAACTATAAACCATAACATGGAGATACAGAATGACATTTTCTGTAACAGAAAAATACATTCTCCTTAGCACCAAGCACTCTGATTTGGGAACAACTGCACCTCAAAATTTCTCTCCATACAAAAAGACATCTAATAATCTAGCAACTAATTTCTGCCTTTGGTGAAGTAAATGCACGCTTTTAAAGATGCATCAAACTACACACAAGGAGCATTGCTGCAAACAAGAACTTATTTCTTGAAAGGGGAAAAGCATAAGATATGATAACCTCTCTGTTTTCAAGGTCCTTGCAGATATCAGTGACCTGAGCTCAAAACGTTACAGCCTATCTCAAAGCTTAAATTGCGCCGGAGCCCAGTTCCGGTACTTCTAAGTTTTCGGGATAATTTATAATTTCAGCCACAGCGCACCGGAACCCTAACTAAAAGGGCTCAGGCAACTTCTTTTATGTAAGTGAACCATGATTTTAGCACATAAATTTTGGGGTAGAGTAGACTTTAAGGTACCCCTTATATTATGGCAAAGTTGTTGTTTGATTTATCGCCAAGTTGTTGTTTCATTTATGGTAGCCTGAGTAGTTGAATGCTATGGAAACCCTTATGTGATGTAATCGGGTGTATGATTCTGGGAAATTTTGAATCATGGGATCTTTTGTACGCGTTTTTGTGGTGTGTATTGGTTTGATTTTTTAGACCGTAGAATGGCCGAATGTAGTAAGATTAGATTAGAATGTAGAGTAGACTTTAAGGTACCCCTTATATTATGGCAAAGTTGTTGTTTGATTTATCACCAAGTTGTTGTTTCATTTATGGTAGCCTGAGTAGTTGAATGCTATGGAAACCCTTATGTGATGTAATCGGGTGCATGATTCTGGGAAATTTTGAATCATGGGATCTTTTGTACGCGTTTTTGTGGTGTGTATTGGTTTGATTTTTTAGACCGTAGAATGGCTGAATGTAGTAAGATTAATTTGAAGTGAAAGGAGAAGAGAGCTTTAATTAACTGATGTGTAAATGAAGGTTTACTTAGTAGCCATTATAAGTATCCTGTAGGTAGGAAGGGTAAACGTCTAGTCGAACGTAAAAACCGTTTAGATAGATTTGAATGGGTTTGTAGAAAGAAAGGTTCAGATGGTCACTATGTGAAGCATTCGATCAGAAATAGTACCTGGTTTGCAAAAAGTCATTTGAGTATGATTGATATTTCGATTTTTACGTGGCTCTGGGTGTACGAAGCGAACTCGAAAATCATGGTAAGTGAATATTTTTTTTGGTAGTGCTTAAATGTATAACATGTTTTTTCTTCTTTATGTTATTTTATTGTTTGGTTTAAAATGTATTTTATTGAGATTATGTATTTTTTGTTTACCTATATTGTAGAATTTGGTGCTCCTATGACTTTTTAAGTGAAAATATATCGATGTGTACATAGACAAAGTAAAGGGAGTGCGCAATGCAAGTTTGTGCAATTCTGGGATTTTTTTTTAAGTGAAAATAGGTTGGAGTGTACATGGATAAAGTCAAAGGCGTGCGCAATGCCATTTTTTTGCAATTTGGAGATTTTTTTTAAAGTGAAAATAAGTCGATGTGTACATGGATACCGAGTTTGTGCAATTGTTTGTCTTGTTATTTTGGCTTTGTGTAGCAGTGATTTTTGGCGCAAAAATCGCCGCTTCGTAAGCCAAAATAACGAGTCAAAGAATTGCACAAAATCGGTATCCATATACCACCAAAAATCGCCAAGGGGTACCCTAAACTATACTTTTACCAAATTTTGTTTTAATAGCAAACATGCCTTATAAGTCCTTTGCTTTCAAACCTTGCACAGAGCATGAGACTTTTAAGGAAAGAAAAGCCCCAATCATATGTCAAAGGCTTATTCTGCAGAATGTACAATGAATTTATGACAGCAGGCAAATTTTGTGTTCATCCGAGTACTAAAAGCGATACTCTGGTTGCACACATTCCATGCTAGTGACTTCCTATTGTAGAACTCCTGTAGACTTTCTGAATGATGTAACCAAACGGGGGGGGGGGGGGGGGGGGGGGGGAGCGCCACTGCTGTCACTTGTATAAAGAAGTCTTAGGTTTATTCTCAAATTGTTACCGAATAGTATTCAGAGAAAATTTCTCCCTGATGGCTAGAATTATATCTACAGGGCATCGCGATCAGAAAGTCTTGAACTCTCACCTCTTTATTTTCAAAGCTACACTTTTCAGTTAAAATTCCTTTCCATATCCTCTATCCATGAAAACATCCCTCCCCTTAGTTAGATAGCCCTTGAGGCTTTGCTGTAATCACATAAATAAACAAACCTTCCATATTCTCATACTGCGTCTATAATTCTCATGATCCTTCTTAGTGGAGGATCTTCCGTTTTAGTTTTTTTCTTGGTGTGCTTCATAAAATGAGTGGTGCTGGCCATCCCTTGGAACAGTACATTATACATATAATCAGAGCTTAAATTCAAACGGAGATCGCCTGAGCTGCTTCTTAGTGGTATTGTAATTCCTGCCGATGCCCCAATTAAAACAAGGTCCGATATTTTTTTCTGTTTAACTATTTAAAATTAATTTAATAACTTATTAGATTTCTGTTTACATTTATAATAATAAATAGAATAATTTAATTAATAATTTAAAATAATTTAATTATTTAAATATTTTAATTTTTAGTATTTTGTTTGTTTATTTTTTCTTTCGTTCCTCATAGTCTTCCATAGGGCTACCGCACTTCTAATTTTAGAAATTAAGCCCTGGAATACCTCCTTTACAATAGCTGTTCATTTTATTTATTATTCGGCATAGGAAGAGATCTGAGCAAAATCCTGTGAAGAACCAGGATTATCCTTAGATACAATTATCAATTCGTGTAATCGCCTCTAAGAAGTGTGCATGTCTTCTATGGAAAAAGATGAATGTAAAAAACATTAGTTTAGCAGAATGCATGGTTGAAACAGACTTTGAACTAAAAACTAAACTCAATGACGTAACAGCCCTAGTGGGCCAATGCCTGCAGTGCTCCGAAATCTGCTTTCTTGACCGTGGGCCCAGGAGTGCGTAAGCATATGCCCTGAACAAGTGGTCAGCTTGTTGCAGGACCCCCAGTGTTTAGTCCCCGAGCAAACTTGGTACTCATTTTATCGACCCATAGGATGGAAATTAAGGGATGAAAGGCTGAGTTAACCTTGCCCAGCCTGGGGATTGAACCCCGGACCTGTGGTGCTGTTCCGCGATGCAATAGCCACTGCACCACTGGGCCCCTAAACAGACTTTGAGGATACTCAAATAAATGTTTTGTCCAATATGACTAATGAGTATGCGAATGCTTTCGAAAGTAACAAATAAGTTCATGACTTTTTGGTGAAGATAATAAGAAACTATCATAAAACACAACTTATCAATATTTTCAGTTTCATAAATATTTTAGACACCAAGTAGAACATTCAGGCTAAAATAACATTATACATGTAAGTGAAAACGTACAACAAAAAAATAAATAAAACTAAGGAAATTAAAATAAAGCCTGTTTTATGAATAAAATACTTTTTAAAAATGAGAATAAAATATTTCAACCACTCACAAAAGGTAAGTATTTTATTTTTTAACAAATAGGCAGAAATGGATATATTGTTGAAAGAGATGTTTAAATACATATACTATAGATGCATAAAGAAATCTATAGATACATATATCCTCTAGCGTAGAATTGGGTGCCCCTTCGATTAGCGACAACTTTTTTTTTTTTAATTTTGGCAATGAAACCTTACTTCTGGTTACCATGATAGTTTTAACTTTGTTTTACCTTCCTGATTTTATTTAAATGAAAATAGATTGATGTGTACTTAGACAAATTTAAGGCAGTGTGCAATGCCTAGTTTGTGCAATTCTAGGATGTTTTTTTTTAAGTGAAAAGAGATCGATGTGTACATGGACACAGAATTTGTGCAATTCTTTGACTTCTTACTTTGGTTTTGTGTAACGGCCATCTTGAAATTGTGCCTTACTGGCGCCGATCTTGGCGTAAAAAAAAGAACTGCCAAAAAACAAGGGGAACCCAATTGTAAACTTGAACTTTTACCACATTACTCGCTGAATTCAGCTACGGGTTTGTAAAATGCTCTGTGAAGAAACAACAAGTTTGTGTGACTGTTTGGTAGGGCAGTGGATGGTCAGAAAATGAAAACTTTTTTTTTTTTTTTTTTTTTTTAAATAGTCACACAGCCATTTACTTGCTTTTTAAATATTATACTTCACATGGATAAGCTCAGCAGCACATGTATAAACATTAGAGCAATATAAAATACTACCCAGTTTTTCGATCAATAAAACTATATTCGATAAATATACATAAAGCTAATAATTAGATGATAGTGCTTTTTTTTTCCTCTCTTTTTGCTGTATTACGGTATGATTGAAGAAACTTAGTTATTTCATGCCGTACATTCCAACGTAAATCTTTCCGTAACGTTTTCAATTATTTAAAAACATGCTTTGATTTTAGCGCCTAAGAATGAAAAAAACTACTTACCTATTTAATTTATAATTTACATTACAATAAATTAAGCCTCTATAAGACAAACATAAACAAACAATATACAATAAGGATTACTGGGTACAGATAGCAATGGTTAATAAGTACTTTTCATGAATTTAATTTTATGCAGTAGTTTAAAGTGAGAATGAGTTTTTTATTTATTTATTTTTCTTTTTAATTTCTAAGAGTAAAAGAAATGCTTTAAGTGAGAATAACAAAAAATCAATTAGAAGGATGGCTATATAATCTTACCTTTTGGCATCGTAGTATGTTATAAATCTGAAGTAAATTTTTAAGTATATCTAATAAACGCCACAAAAGTCAGCGAAGAATAATTTACAAATTCCAACAATATTAGTACAATTTTGCTCTACATGGACTCAAGCATACGCATACACAGATGATGCCAACAATTTCATATAAAATTAACACAAAAAATAACTTAACCTCAGAAAAAAAAAATTTTTTTTAGTAATTTTTCATAGAAATCTCAAGGAAGTTAGCATATACTGATTTCGGAATACATCTCTTGTTTCAGAAAACAAAATGTGAGAGAAATAATGAATAATAAAGCATTTTTATGAATTTTGAAGCAGAATACAATTTTAGCTTTCAGATCACTGTCTCGATGATGTTGCATAATTTTTTTAATCTGTTGCATATTATTTTAATTTCTTAAATTGCAATAGTCAAGAATTTGGCAAAAGTATGCATCAAATTGTATTTTCGTAACTTCAATTACCACTTTGATTGTGTTGTCATATTTGTTTCCCTTGGGGCAGATGACAGAATGTTACTTGGCGTGATATTGAACGGTACGTATGAATTATGTATTAAGTGGATGATTTTTATATCAGGTAGAAATAAAAATTTTCAGTTTCGTAAATAATAGAACTTAATAAATCTCTTGATTATTTTAAAATTTATTTTAAATTAGTTCAAAAGCATGGTATTACATTAAAATTTATCACAGTATATGAAAACTTAGTTTTACTTACACTAAAATTTTAATTATGTGATATTAAGTTTCATAACATTATACATTAATAGGCATATTTTATGCTTTTTTATAATTACGAATTCATGTTCTATGAATTGGAGGCAAAATCTCCCCGTTTCGAAACTATTCATCAGTATTACAGTGGCTCGCATTTGTTTTCGGACACTTGTATTTTTTAGATTTTTTTTTTTGGTATAAATCTTGTACTAAATATTGAAAAATAGGCGTAAAAATTTTTTCTATTAAATTAATTACGTCTCTTTTAAACCCTGCTTGTTAAAATGTGAAGAAAAGATGAAATGGTGAATTTTTTTTTTTAATACTACAGATATTCAGCATTCCATTAATAGTTTATGATTGAGGCATTGTCATCACAGTGTAAGATGTCAGCTCAATCATTTTCATTTAGAATGTCTTCTCATATTCCATTAGTAAAAAAAAAAAATTACTTTTTACTTCTGATATTCCCAAACCTTCATATTAGCAGCCTTCATCATCATGAATTTAGCCATAAATCTGGCTTTTAATAATTCAGAGTATTTAAAAAAATATCTGTAGATACTTCCTCACAATCTCTTTAATCTTGCAATGTCCCGCACACCAAATTTTATGTTAAAATATATTTTTTTAATTCTTGGATGATCTTACTGCTGCACAGGTTCTTAAAAAGCTATGCATTTCAGTTTGGAGCAAAATTCAATATCCTTTATGTAACTGATGAATGTATTCAGGAAAAAAGTAAAACAAAGTTACTATCGGTAAAATCCTAGTATACGGTGCAGCCTTGGTGCGACTTATTATCGCCAACACCAAAAATGATCCAAAGAACATCTATATATATGCTATACACTATATACTATGTGTGTATATACATAGTATATATACTATATGCATAGTATATACTATGTTTAACTATATATTTTCTTTGAATGACCCTTTAACTACTCATCGCAATGTCCCGTTTTTACTGCTCATCATAAAGTCGCCAAAAGTAGCCAAATCCCTTGTGCACCGGATACTAGGATTAAACCATACTATCATTTACTAAAACTGTCATTTTGTTACCATAATATTAATAATAATTTATGTAGCAAAATAATAAGCTGCTTCAAATCAGAAGGTTAAGAAATTGCGTAGTTGTATAAATTTGCATAAAGAAGACATTGATAGCTCAGTTAACATCTGAACTTAAGTTTCTGATGTTAAATGAATTTAAGTTCCTCAGAATCTAATTCTTTCTCCCTTTGTTGCTGCTATGCCAACAGCTAACAAAAGAAAATTAGTATGAGCAACATTTCACTCTGTGTTGAGACTTCACAAATTGAGTCAGATAGAAAAGTGCTAATAATTCCACAACAATTCCAGGGCTAAAAAAAGTGTGGTTGTGGCTAATGTCAATGCAGCATTAGTTGGTGTATTGTCGTTAGCCATGGTGTGATTCCCTAGACAACAGGTGTATGAAGATGACATACGTGGATCTCTGTTAGTCTGGAAAAGGATTACATTTGCATCCCATTTGGATATTTGATATCTGGATTTTGGACTTGTGTGTTTGTATGTGTGTTTGTTGGAGTTGTGTTTATTTGTATACCAATTAATATTGCTAATTATTGAGCCCTATCTAGCCATTACCTAACAACTGGTTATTTATGACTATTGATGTTAAAATTGGCTGAATAATAGGACATTCATTGTCATATTAGGCAGAAGTGTTACAAGTAGTTTTTTTTAAAAATAGCTGATTGAATAATGACTGTATTTAAATGAGAAACATACTGCATAAGGAATAATGTTAGTTTTCAGATGATAAATTCAATTAGTATGTTCTTACCATTCTTTAGTTATTAAATCTTATTTTAAACTTATTTTTTTTAGTGAAAATATTCGTTACTTAGTGACCTATAAGTGTGTTGGAAAACATTAACTGCTGATATCAGTTTACCATTCCTTGCTACAGAATTTCGTAATGACCATTTCTCATATTTGTTTAATAATAACTATTCATCATTGTAATAGGAAACATTTCACTTAAATGTATATTCGGTAAAAGTTTAAAATTGGGTGCCCCTTGTTTTTTGGCGATTCTTTTTTGACGCCAAAATCGGTGCCAGGAAGGCACAATTTCAAGATGGCTGCTACACAAAACCAAAATAAGTCAAAGAATTGCACAAACTCTGTGTCCATGTACACATCGATCTGTTTTCACTTTAAAAAAAATCCTAGAATTGCACAGACTAGGCATTGTGCACTGCCTTTATTTTGTCTATGTATACATCAATCTATTTTCATTTAAATAAAATCAGGAAGCTAAAACAAAGTTAAAACTATCATGGTAACCAGAAGTGAGGTTTCATCGCCAAAATTTAAAAAAAATTGAGCTAATTGAAAGGCACCCGATTCTACACTACAACCGTA